CCTTGAAGCTAGACAGATCTGGTATTGAATTTTGGCTTAACAGCTTACTGTCTGAGCTTGGGCTAGTTACTTAACTTCCCTAAGCCTCAGTTTTCTCATACGTAAAATGGGGATAATACTACTAACCTTATGAGGTTATTTTGGGGATTAAACAACACAATGCAAGTAAGGCACTTGCCAGAGTGTGCTTAATAAAGGATAGCTTTTATTTCTCTTTTAATGACATTATTCTGTTCCTCCCAGTTTCTCTCATCATCTAAGATAAATATATTTCATCCATCTCTGGATATGCTGGCTTTTACAAATGAATTTAGAAGCAGATTCTATATATTCTTACAACCAATGTGGGGGAGAGATGATAGTTGAACTTGAGCTCGCTCCAGAAGTCCAGACCTGAAAGTGTAGATGAGTGAAACCCAATGATCCTGTACGTCACTTTTTCTTATGAAGAGGTTTGTATCTGATGAGCTTTTCCCCTTCTCTGATTCCTAAAGGGCTGGGAGGATGGAATGCTGGGCATGAGAAAAGGAGAGAAGCGGCTGCTTATCATCCCTCCAGCCTGCGCTGCTGGCTCTGAAGGGGTAATAGGATGGACTCAGTCAACGGATTCAATCCTGGTGTTTGAGGTGGAGATTAGGCGAGTGAGTAAAATTGTGCTGTGTTGTGTTTGATGAGCCCTCTTTGCTAGTTAAGTGAACTGAATAAGTATGTTTGAAAAGCAAATTGTAAAGACTTTTTTTTTTTTTAAGTAGAAATGATAGAGTTGGAAAGAGCAACAGCTTTGGAATCTAAAGATGAAGGTTTATGGCCTTCCTGGCTCTCTATTCAGAATTTAGGTGAGGTCTTGACTGAGCAAATCACTTCTCTACACTAACTTTTTAATTTTATTCTTAAAATAGTGATTCCTACCCACTTTGCTTCCCTTTTGATGTAATAATCCCATGGCTACAAATTTATCCTATCAATATATTCACATAAGTATGTAGAGATGTCTATATATTAGTAGGTATATATAGTTTCCTCTCTTTGCCACATTGTAATAGTAAAAAACTGGGAACAACAAAGTGTCTATTATTAAGAGACTGGTTAAGTTATGATTTTTT